TTGTAATTTAATTTAAATAATTTAGTCATTTTTTATTATTTTATTATTAGTATCCTTTAATTTAAATCACTTAATTTAATTGAATGTTTTTGTACACAAAAGGCTAACTATAAACATATATATCTGTATGCAGACACTACCATACACATATAATGCAGGATGTGATGGATGCAATGTTAAATTCATTATCTCCAGTTTGACCGCTGTAGTAAGTAATGTGGTGCTGTTTCTTTAGGCTGAACTGTCAAATGTGATCTGCACTGTCGATCTGTCTCTGTTTATTTTGTCCTTGCGGTGTGCTTTTGTTTGCTACTGAAGAGTCATTTTCTCTCCGTTGTGATTGGTGCACCAGGCCTTTCCTAATTGCCAATTAACAGCGCTCACAAAGCAATCAAGCCCCAGCAATGCCAGATGCAAAGGAAAATTAGCTTGTTTATAATTTATCGGGCTTAACTTTAGGTCTATTTTGGAGAAGAGACACTATAATGAGGGAAATTATTCAGAATATTCCTCATTCTGGTATGTGCATCTACACAGGGCTGTACCCCTGAATGCAATCTGCCTAATGTGGGATTCACTTGATGCCATTTTATCCTTGTGAAGATTTTTCCTTTTCTCTCTTTTTTTTCCCAATTTAAAAGAAAATGCACTTTGAAGTTATTTTTAATTGCTTCTTGAACAGATAATGAAGCAACCGTCATTAAACGCAGTCATATTAGCAGAGTTCGCCCTCACTCGCAGATCTTTTAACACTGGGAGCAACTCCATTAAATGGAGATGTTTCGTTTTAACTGTCCCCCCGCACTCATAATTAGCCAAACACATTTTCTAAGCAATTCCTCCCCACCCCGACATAATACTAAAAAAAGCAAAGCTTGTAAACACTTTGTCATTTAGACATAAGTATTGAGTGTGAGGGCTTAAAGTAATAAGAAACAAATACTGTAGTTGTAGCTCTTATTTGTCCAAGCATCAGGTTCTTACAGCCTGCTGCAGTAAATCAGTTTTAATTACACAGTGTACAAAATGTTAGCTCAAGCTTAGCACTTAAAGTAGGTTATACATAAACACAAACACAGACACAGAGTCGGGCATGTTACTTAAAAAGTAATTAGCAGTGCTGGGAAATGGTTCATTGCGATTAATCGAATCTAAAATAAAAGTTTTTTTTTCCTATAATATATGTGTGTGTATATTCATTATGTATATACAAATATACACATGCATGCAAATCTTTGAGCAAATGCATAATTATTTTAAGATCTAAAATATATATATGTATATGATACAACCTATATATAAATATATTTGTATTTTATTTATCTATGTTTTGTATCATATATACATGATAAAAATATATAACACACTCACATATATCAAAACTAACTCCTTTTTTGGGATGTGATTATTCACTAATCATCCTCAGTTATGAGGTTGTCCCACCCCTACACACAAAGTGCCAAACATTATAAGATATGTGCCCCACTACGCCCTGCAACAAACACACACTAGAGCAGACAGACATTACTGCTGAGAGTGTATAATCAATAAAATGACTAAGTATTAGTCATTGAATTAAATATAATATATGTAATATATTGAATATGTGATAATATATTAAATGTGTAATACATTAAATACATATATGTAAAAAAACTGTTTGTTTTTATGCATGTTTGTGTATCACAAAAACATAGTAAGATATATAATACACACACACATATTAAAGCTAACTCCTTTTTTTGGATGTGATTAATCACTTATCATCCTCAGTTATGTGGTTGTCCCAACCCTACACACAAAAGTGGTAAACATCATTAGATATGTGCCCCACTATCAACTGCAACACACACACACACACACACACACACACACACACACACACACACACACACACACACACACACACACACACACACACACACATACACACACTATCCTATTCATTTAATGGTCCTATTCATTTAAAAAAAAAAAAAAAAAAAAAAAAAACAGCAGTTGGTTTAGTCAGACAATCAAGGTCCCATAATGAAATTAAAAGTTGTATGGTAAATAACAAGAACCTCTGACTTACAAACCTAAAATACAGTTTGCGGCCCTGGACCACAAAACCTGCAGTAAAATACTGTAGTTATAGCTCTTATTTGTTGGTGAATCAGGTTGTACTGCCTACTGCAGTAAATCAGTTTTAAATACACAGTGTACGAAATGTTAGCTCAAGATAACTCTTAAAGTAGATTATAGATAAACACACACATACTCAGCAATCATCAATCAATCATCGTCAGTTATGTGGTTGTCCCACCCCTACAAACAATTAAAATCATATGGTAAATTACCAGTAAGAGCCACTGAATCACAAACTTATAATACAGTATGTGACTAATATAATATAATATAATATAATATAATATAATATAATATAATATAATATAATATAATATAATATAATATAATATAATATAAGCATGTATAACTGAGAACTGAGATACACCTATTTGAAAATGAAAATGCTAAAATCAAGCATTTTTCTAATGCTTTTTTAGCATAAAAGAGACTAATTTTGATTATATAATATAATACAATCTACTTTTGACTATTGCCCCAAAATACCCACACAACATAAGACAAAAATAATCAACATGTACTATGTCTAAAAATCTTCCAGAAAACAGTGTTAGTGACCAGAAACATCCCCATATTTTGTATATTAAATATGAAATCCTGACAGCAGCACTCATCCATAGGCATAAACTTTAAAAATAGCTCTTTTTTCTCCTCACCATTTCTGCAGCTGCTGTATGGAGTGAGAGAAACTATCAAAACCACTTGACAAGCTCACACAAAGAAGTCGCTAACTTGTCGAAACGATCAGTCACGTTGGCGTTTGTGGGTGTTGAAGTGGCCACAAATCTCATTTCCCATTTCCTCTCCTTGTACGCTCGTGTCAAGATACCAATTCTAGCTTCAGATGGCCTTTCTTGAGCACAGGGACACAGGTGGAATAAAATTAGTGAAGAGTGGAGCCACGTCCCAAGCTGCTTCCTACTGACTATCTAGTGCACTACAGTGAGTATCTAAGATTTTGTTGTGGTGGCCAACTCGTTCATTCATTCATGTTTCTTCGGCTTAGTGTCTTTTTTTTATCAGAGATTGCCACAGCAGAATGAATCGCCAGCAATTCCAACATATGCTTTACGCAGTTGATGCCCATCCAGCCGCAACCCAGGACTGGGAAACACCCATACACTCACATTCACACACACACACACACTCACACACACACACACACACACACACACACACACACACACACACACACACACACACACACACACACACACACACACACACACACACAAAACACACAAACACACAAACACACACACACAAACACACACACTCATACACTACGGGCAATTTAGTTAATCCAATATATATAGTCCTTGTGTTTGGACTGTGGGGGAAATCGGAGCACCCGGAGAAAACCCAAGCCAAGGGAGAACATGCAAACTCCACACACAAATGTCAACTAGCACAGCCGGGACACGAACCAGTGACCTTCTTGATGTGAGGCAACAGGCCATGGTGCCGCTTGAGTGAACAACTTAATACCCTAAATTCATTCATTGCTTTTTATCCACAATCCACCCTGTTTTTGTTGTACGATCATCCAGTACTGTTGTTTTTTTATGTTAAAGGAATAGTTTGCCCAAAACCAACATTTTTGTCATTATTTACCTCACGTTTACTTGTAAACAAACCTGTTTGAGTTTATTTCTTCTGTTGAACAAGAAAGAAGATATTTTGAAAAATGTTAGAAACTGATAACTTTTAACCTAAATAGTATTTGCTTTTCCTGCTATGAAAGTCAATGGTTACCATTTTCTAAAATTCTTCAAAACATCATATTCATTCATTCATTTTAATTTATTAAATAATTTGTTTACTTATTAAATATGATCAAAAAGTGAATATGCACGACATATATGTATTTTGTCCTCTTTTTCCCTTTTGTTATCAAACAATACAATAAATTTCAGACATGGAAATTAGAAAAGTACACTGTAAATAAAAACCTTTTTTTTTTTTTTTTTCGGCAGCTGGGTTGCCAAAACGTAAAAAAGAAAAGTAAAATAACGTCCGTTAAATTGTGGAAAAGTTCTTACATTCTAATTTCTAAAATTTAAAAGTTATAATTTTACATTTTTTGGGGAAACACAAACTTTATTTATTTATTTATTTATTTATTTATTTATTTATTTATTTATTTATTTATTTATTTATTTATTTATTTATTTATTTATTTATTTAATTATTTATTTATTTGTTTGTTTGTTTGTTTGTTTACTCATTTATTTATTTATTTTATTTATTATTTAATTGATTATTAACTTATTTATTTATTTATTTATTTATTTATTTATTTATTTATTTATTTATTTATTTATTATTTTATTAATCATTTACTTATTTTTATGTATTTATTTATTTTATTAACTATTTACTTATTTATATATTTATTTATGTATCTAATTATTTAATATTTATGTAATATTTTTTTATTTATTTAATTGATTATTTACTTTTTATTTTATTTATTTATTTATTTATTCGTTCATTTTATAAATGTAGTAAAAATAAATAAGCATGTCATGCATGTGTATTTGATCTCTCTTTTTTTTTTGGCATTAAATAATACAATAAAATCGACAAATAAACAGTGGCATTCAACAGTATAAACTCACAAAGGAAATAATTGTTGTCATGTCTTTTACTACTTTAATTCATTAAACGAGAGAGCAGATTTGGACACAGCTTAGGGCAGAAGTGTCTGCTCTGAACTGTGTCACGACCCTTTTCCATAATCCTCCTCAGTCACACTCGCACACCTGCTCAAGTGATTCCTCAAATCATGTCTGATTACTGCAGAGAAACACACACACGCTCTTGTCTATGATTGCAGGACCAGTTATCTAATATCCAAATTTCTTCCACAGGTGCAAACGAGTCTCATATGAAGAGTCAAAGGAGGAGTGACATCATAACTGAGTCTGCAAAAGAACAGCTTAATTCACTGATCCAGAAGATCTCACAGATCAGAGTACAGTGAGTCGCTTCTATAGGATACTGAGAGCTTGAAAAGAAAAGCTATAGATGAAGGAGTAATTAGCATGAGGAATGGTGGGATGAAGCAATGCATTTAAAGAACACACGGCTGGTATTTGACACTGGTAAATTATATATTCATCTTCAAGCATATGATACTGTGTTGGAAATGGATTTTGCTAGGCAATATGGCTGGTATTTGCAGAGCTTCCCACAGTTTCTAATCGGATTTTAGAAGGAAATGTGTGGAATGTGGTAGAATAGATTTAAAGCAACATGGATTATATTATTTGGTAATAATAATAATAAAAATAGTAATAATAATAATAATATGACTACTACTAATAATAATAACCACAACAACAACAAAATAATAATAATAATAATAATAATAATAGTATTAATTTATTTATAAATTTTCCTTTGGCTTATTCTCTTTATTCATCAGGGGTCGCCACAGCAGAATGAACCCCCAACTTATCCAGCATATGTTTTACACAGCGAATGCCCTTCCAGATGCAACCCAGTACTGGGAAACACCCATACAAACTCATACATTACGGCCAATTTAGTTTATTCAATTCACCTATAGCGCATGTCTTTGGACTGTGGGGGAAACCAGAGCACCCAGAGGACACCCACGCCAACATGGGAAGAACATGCAAACTCCACAGAGAAATGCCAACTGGCCCAGCCAGGACTCGAATCAATAAACTTCTTGCTGTGAGGCTACAGTGCTAACCACTGAGCCACTGTGTCACCAATAATAATAACAAAAAAACTAAAAATACTACTGGTAATAATAATAATAATAATAATAATAATAATATAATAAAAGTATAGTAGTAGCAGTATAATAGTAGTTTTATTTAATTTATTTTACTTTATTTTATCTATTAAATTAAATTAAACTAAATTAAATTATTAATTTAATTTAATTATTTTATTTAGTTTATTTAATTATATTTAATTTAATAATATTTATTTTAATAATTTAATTTAATTTAATTTAATTTAATTTATTTATTTGTTTATTTTATTTTTTTGTGTCTGTGAGGGAACCACGATATACAACCATTCAGAAGACTGGGCTACAGTATACTTATGACAGGAATTCATAAGTAGTGTGAAAATTAAACTATTTTTTTTTTCACTCGTAATAAATAGGAACGAACGAATGAACTAATAAACAAAAAAAAAAGACATTTTATTTCAGCTGGTTTCTAAGATACATTTTTTTCTTAATTTTTCAATTTATGATGACATGACAAATGCACAAAAATAAGATATCTGACAAAACAAAGTTATTCTGTATTAATAAAATAAAATTATCTACTATAATGATATAATATCTGAATTGTATTTACCAATTCATCAATAAAGGCTGCCTGGTGTGAAAGTAAGAGTGTATGGGTATTTCCGAGTAATGGGTTGCAGCTGGAAGGGCATTTGCTGTGTAAAACATATGCTGCATAAGTTGATGGTTCATTCCACTGTTGCAACCCCAGATTAATCAAGGGATTAAGTCGAAAAGAAAATGAATAAATGACTGAATGAATTCATTAATAAATGTTTCTAAAGAGTTCTGTTTCAAACAACATCATTTTTTTTAATATTAATACTATTTTGAATAATTAAACGAATGGATGAATAATAACTGCAAAAAAATGTTAAATAAATATTTTTTTATGGAAAAAAAGATGTGAAAAAAAAGATTTGTCATTACTATTTATAATGTTTAGGGTAAAAAATGGCATTGATGTGCATTTTATGAAGCAAGGCCTATGCTTTCTTTTAAAAATGTTATGTTTATTTCACTTACATGCCATTTTTGTAAAGATTAGTGAAATTTTTAATACTAGATTACAATTGTCCAGTATATAATAGTATACATTTTTTTTCTTTCAGTGCACATGTCACAGGCAACATAATAAATATTCTTGAGTAAAGCTATATCACTCTTTTCAGTTAGACATATACTGTAAATCTAGTCTATTGCATTAGACTGAACCGTCAGATTGTCTTTGGATCAGATTGACTGTAATTAAGCCTCATGGTGTTCTTGTTAGAGAGCTCTGTTTCCTGATGGATTACCAAAAATAAGAAAACACCTGTATTAATGTCCGAACAAAGGATAACAAAACTGTTATCACCTGCGCCCCTTTGTTGTATTGATCGTTTAATTGCACTGTCTTGGTTAAAACATGGATCAATGTTGAGGAAAGCAGCAAGACCAGAGCACAAGCACTGAATTAATCATTCAAAATAAATGGCCAAGCACTTTAAGACCTGTCCACAAGCATCAACCTCCTCCAACACAAAGCAGATAGAGAGCAGCAGCAGACATGAGAATTCCACATAAGGACACATGAGAGACAGAGAGATAGAGGAGGGAAAGAGAGAAAGAGGCATTGACTTTATATAGAGCTTTTGTAGAAATTACAATATAACCTTTTTTCCTTTACAGTCCATGATTGTATATAAAATATACAAGACACTCTCCATTACATTAAAAGAGAGGAATAAAATAAAATAAACAAATTGACTAACTAAAATAAGCAATAATATAAACAAAATAATAAAAATAAAAAATAAACAACCAAACAAAATAATTAAAGATTATGATTAATTATTAAGTAAATAAATAAATACACAAAATTAAACAATATAAATTATAACATATAAAAATAAACAAACAAAACAATTACCAAAAATAAGTAATGGTTAAGTAAATAAATAAATATACAAAATCAAAACAAAACAAAACATAAAATATAAAAACAAACAAAAAAAATATTTACCAAAAATATATAATTAATTAATAATTAAGTAAGTAAATAAATACACAAAATGAAACAAAAAACATAAAATATAAATAAATAAATAAACAAACAAACAAATAAAATAATTACCAAAAAATTATAAACACTTAATAATTATGTAATTAAATAAATACACAAAATAAAAAAACATAAAATATAAATAAATAAATAAATAAATAAATATAAACAAACATACAAACAAACAAACAAAATAATTACCAAAATATAAAAATTATTAATAATAAAATAAATAAATAAAAGTATAAATATAAATATATATATATATATATATATATATATATATATATATATATATATATATATATATATATATATATATATATAGAGTATGTACAATACCTACAATAAACAAACAAAATAAAATAAACAGTAATATATGTAATTTAATGTATAAAAACAAATTAAATAAATAACCAAACTAACTAAATAATTAACTAATATATATATATATATATATATATATATATATATATATATACACACAAATATATATATATGTATAACTAACTAACTAACTGAAACAAATAATATTATATAAAAATAAATTAAAATACATTAGTTAAAAAAACAAACTAAGTAATTAACTAAATCAAATGAATAATAATTAAAAACAAAACAAAACCTTAACTTATTTTAATTTCCAGTGTGGCTTCAGGCAAATGAACTGGTTAATATGATCATTTCTAGCCCATTTTTGGAAGGGTTTGTAAGACCTCCAAAAATCTGTTGTGACATAAATGTCCTAATATGTTCAATTTCCATTACCTGAACTCTTCCAAAAACATGTCTTTTAAGTTGAAGTGGAAACAGATGGCTGTGAGTCTCAGTTTAAATCTAATTTGTGTCCCCTTTTTAACTGCGCTTCTACATCACAGGCTTCTGTGAAAGCGACTCTCAGTCTGAACTCACTCCACTTGATCAAACCAGCACTTCCTGTTTGTTTATTAAATGAAACATGTTCCTCTTGGACATTTGCCATCAAACTGGCACCTCTTGTTCTGAAGCAAGTTCTTTGAAAGGGGAAAAAGGTATTTGCAACAAGTATTTATGAGAATTAATGAGAGCGCACACTTATCAAACAAATATGTGGACGAGCACTTGACTGAATTAACTGTCTCATAAAACCTTTAATATAAATTAGTTTTGATCATTATCTTGAATAATTATGTATCGCATCTGGTTACTGTATTGTGTGTACTTTATTCATTCATTTATTCATTCATTCATTCTTATTTATTCATTGATTTGTCTATTCATTCATTCATTTATGTTAGTCTTTATTTTTTACATGTTTATTGCTTTTATAATTTTTTAAATTATTCCTTTTGGTCATTCAGTTATTCATTCAATAATTATTTTTTATTTTAATCTGTTCCATTCTTTTATTCCTTTGTTCATTCTATTTTCTTTCTGTCTTTTTATCTATATATTCATTTGTCTATTCATTCGTTCATTCATTCATTCATTCATTCATTCATTCATTCATTCATTCATTCATTCATTCATTCCTTCATTCAATCATTCATTCCTTCATTCAATTATTCTTTCTTGTTTGTGTGTTCATTTATTTTATAATTGTCATTCATTCATTCATTCATTCATTCATTCATTCATTCATTCATTCATTCATTCATTCTTTCTTCCTTGTTTGTGTGTTTATTTGTTCATTTATTTATATATTAATTAATTTTATTTTCATTCAACCATTCTATTATTTTTTTTGTTTGTGTGTTCATTTATTTTTTTTATTCATTTATTATTTCTTCCTTGTTTTTGTATTATTTGTTCATTTCTATATTCAGTTTCTATTTTCATTCATTCATTCAATTATTCTTTTTTGTTTGTGTGTTCATTTATTTTTATCATTTTCATTAAGTAATTAATTTATTCATTTTTCGTTAATTTATTATTTCTTGTTTTTGTGTTTATTTGTTCATTTATATATTAATTAATTTCTATTTTCATTCATTCATTCATTCATTCATTCATTCATTCATTCATTCATTCATTCATTTAATTTTTTCATTCATTCATTTAATCTTTCTGTCTTGTTTGGGTGTTTATTTGTTCATTTTTATATTTATTAATTCTTATTTTCATTCATTTTTTATTCATTCATTAATGTATTTTATATTTTCTTGTTTATGTGTTTATTTTTTTTATTTATCCATTTATTAATTTCTATATACATTCATTTGTTCATTCATTTCTTGTGTGCGTTTGTTTATTTAATCATTTATTCTTTTTTATCCATTCTTCTTTTTATTCA